TCCTTCCTCCCCCCCTGCCCCCCCGGGGGTGTGTCGCACTTTGGATGAGCATGATGGAGACCGTAAGGTCTTGTTGGGAGTTCGTTTCTTCAGCCCTCGAGTAATTTTTGCGTCTCTTTTCTGTCTCCTCGGAGAGGGAACATATACACAGCCCGCCTGTGTATACGCCCACCACCAGGTCACCCGTTTTCATTCTGGTGCACGGAATGACTATTATTTAGTAGCTTACGACCCCCTAGTTCCTGCCTGTCTGCGTATGCCCTTCATTTCTGGGGCGTACGTAGATTCCTCTTTTTGTGTACGGCACAGCGCTTTGCCTGGGGTGGGCGCATGCAATACAGACCTCTTGCCGTCGTGTTGTCCTCGCTTTGCCTGCCTGCCTTCCGTGTGGCTGCTGGAAACAGCATTTAGCAGCCGGCCCAGCCACGGGTCATCGGGGGATTTCACCAGAGCCTCAGCTGAAAGCAGTTCCCGTTCGTAACCGGTTTTGACAGTCTGTCAGCTAGTTCTAAGCCCACTTAATATGTGCTTCTCTGATGCTGTATTATGCTAATTTTTAATCAGCATCAGGAGGTACTGAATCAGACTCTGTGCAAACATCTGAGTAAATTACAATTATGTGATTTCATTTATAAACCAAACGAGTAATGTCATCAAAGAATGAAATTGGGTTCGTCTGACAAGATCTGTTTTCCAGCAAAGCATCCTGACTAGCATCATACATATTGTTATGCCTTGGTCCTTCCGTGATTTAATTTCCTGTCACCTTTCTGTTACCTGTCTGGGGCTGATCAACCTGATGACCTAGACACCCAGGTCATCTCGCTTGCCCTTTTGGAACATTCGCATAACCCATGATTTCCTTCATATCCCAAAATGTATTCAAAATTAACAACTTACCCAAGATCTCCTTAGCCAGCTCTCCAGGGACTGTTACATGGAAGTTCCCTAGGCATCCTAATTTAAAAACGTTTATTCTAGTAGGTGTTGTTTACCATCTTCCTTAGTTACTAAGGGACTGGAAAGTACTTCATCATTACTAGATAATAAAGTACCTCAACCTTAATCTTTTCAGATATGGAATGGAAAAGGTTAACATTTCTGCCACTTCTGTACCATTTTCTCTATCTAGTAGTAGGCCTATTGCTAGGATCTTTTCTGTTCTTAATATACTTGTACTCCCCCCCCCCCCCCTACCATCCT